CCCCGAACGGAGTCTTCCACAGATGAAGCGTAATATTTGCGAAATAACGTATGTCCAGGTTTGTGATCATGTGACCATACATTAATGATGTCACAGTGTGCTATTATTGTTCATAGTATGATTTGTCTTTGCACGGTCATCGCACTAATTAGTGTACTTTTGGAAATCGTAGTCTCCACTACTGTTAGTGGATGTTTTTAATGAATTTCTGTGGTTGTAAATATTCGGATGTGGTTTGCTGTGGGGTGCTTATACTCCCTTAGTAATGTGGTCCCTAGAAGGGCGGACAGAAACTAGCTTATTCACAAGGAAATTCCAGGCTATGTCACAAAAACTCATGAACTGGGAGGGTAAGTGGTGGAGCAATGGTCTCTCCGGTAAGCGGAAGATGCAGCTCCAATGCCCGCCTGTTGTCTGACTTTTGTCCAAAACTCAGCGTTCCTGTGATAACTTTCGGGGCGCAAGTGCTGCGTTGAACAGCAGGTATATCTGAAACAAGTTGAAAACCGAATTTCTTCAAGTTTTCAGTTCACTTTCAGTGAATGGCATATCAGAAACCGATAATTTCTTTCTAGCCCACCATTCACTTATTTACTTGTTTGATGCACTACAAAAGTGTACCGACGTAATAAAAATGAACAATACAGTCAATGTATTAATGTACCTGTTTTCATAACTGGTGCATTCTTTTGTATTGAACAATTAATCAAAATATCAAATATACAACTTTCAAACGGCCATTTATGCGCAATAACGAGTAAAATGAAATCTTTTAATTCCGAGCGCGAAAACACGAATTGTACCGAATCCAATTTATTAGGTTGTCCGGAAAGTTCTCAGCGTTTTGAGTGTTTCACTTTAAACGATCATAACTTTCTTAATACTCATCGGATTTAATCGAAATAAGCACCGTTCGAATCAGCACACTTTTGCCAGTGTGACACCAGTCGACCACGAAATCCGCGAAGGCTTTTTTTTGCCTGGTCCTGACTGATGAAGTATTTTCCAGCAAGGAAGTTCTGAAAATGTTTGAAAAGGTGATAGTCGGTTGGTGAAAGGTCTGGAGAATATGGCGGGTGAGGTAGAACTTCAACCCCAATTCGTTCAATTTATGGATAGTGATTTGTGAAACGTGTGGGCGGGCGTTGTCATGCAAAAGAATCGGACCCTTTCTGTTGACAACTGCCAGCTACACGGCCGAAGTGCTGGCTGCAGCTGACGCAATTTTCGGTACATTTCGTCGATTTCTTCACAGTAGGACTCTGCTGTGATTGGCCTGGTGACAAAAAGTTATAGTGGATCACACCAGCCGATGACCACCACACTGTGACCATAACCTTTTTTCGTGAGATTCGGCTTTGGAAATTGCCTCGGTGGTTCGTTGGCATCCGCCACTGTTCCGGAGACGGTCTTGCTCTGTTATCATACAGCTTCTCCTTTCGCGTGTCGAAAACGGGTCGTTATTTGTTTGCGCAAGAAGCAGTGAAGAAGAATAACCTGAGAACGTGCCGAATTTCTGTCCGGGTCACCAAGGATTGGGTATCCACTTGTCGAAGTTTTTTTCACCTTCCCAATTGCTTTTCAGTTACCATCCGCAACAGTGGATTTTGCCATGCCCTAGCTTTCTGCAACCTTTCTCGCGAACTCTGTTTGGGATGGGTTCAGCCTCTCCACAAACGCCTTCAAATCCTCGTCAGGTATTGCTTTAGGTCGACCGCTACGAGGTTCATCTTCAAGGCTGAAATCTCCAGAACGAAATTTGTCGAACCATTGTCGCACGGTGCTTTCTCTAGCACTATTGGGCCCCCACACCTGGTTAATTTTCGAGCTGTCTCGACTGCGGATTGACCCAATTTGTAGTTGAAGAAAAATATCGTCCGAAGTTGCTCTTTTGACATGCTTCAAAAAGTCTTGGGGAAAAGGGTTTATCAAGCAATGGTGAAACGGCAATTATACCATCAGATAGCGCAAAAATTCTCTTCAGGATGTACTACTGAGACGCAAGGGAGAATGAGTTTTTAATCAGCAATGAATGTACAAAAAATAGTAACACAAAACGCTGAAAACTTTCCGAACAACCTAAAAGATCCTTTTGGGATTCATTACAGCGCTCATTTTCATGCCCGGATTCAGACAAATTTCCATAGAAAACCATTATTTCTGAGGCTTTGCCCGCCAACTTTGGGTACGATGGTTTATGTAGGAAGCCTTAAAGGAGTGCAGCAGCAAAAAATCCGTGGTATTTGGAAATTCTCGCTTTCAAATTCGGAATTCGGACAAGGCTTAATTTATCGATGAGCGTTTCAGAAATCCGATGATGATGGCTGGTATGGGTATGGGTGGTATGCCTGGAGGAGCCACCGCTTCCCCACGAATGACGAAACCCAACGGTGTTCCGAATGGTGCTCAGAATCCAATGTCGAATGGAATGGCCGCAGCTGCAGCAGCTGCCGGCATGGCCGGTATGCCCCCAGGAATGATGCACATGCAACCTCAGCAGGCAGCTATGTTGCAAGGTAAAAGTTCCTACTACTATCCGATTTCTTGAAGTTCTCATCTTCCCCATATCTAGCTCAAATGATGATGGCTGCTGGTATGGGTATGCCGATTCCTGGTATGCCAATGCCATCTGGTATGGCAATGCAACATGCAATGAACGGAATGGTGGGGACCGATGTTGCCGCCGATGAGTCAAGCTCAAGCCGCTGCCGCTTTTCATGCACTCACGCCACAGGTGGGTTATGCCAAAGGGTTCTGGTTTTCTGCTAAGGCATTTTGTTCAGTTTTTCTACCTTTCCTTCGGATCATTGCTTTATTTCACATATGACTGTGAGAAATAAGATTTCACAGTGTTGTTAGCTACCTGAAGGGGATCATTAAATCTTGCAGTAAGACGTCCGCAACACATAAGGCGTTCGAACTTCGCGACGGCAGCGCTTCGGCGGCGCGTTCGACACGACACTATGATGCTCATGCTTTCGAATGCATTGATCCGTCGAACGGGTGACCGAAGCGCTGCCGTCGCGGAGTCTGAACGCATGCCTTTAATAGGAAGACATCCTAATGGCGTCATAGTCTGTTCTCGGTTGGTTGATTGGGATTAGATAGATCAGTGGCAGATGTGTATTATAGAGAGGTTGTGGATTATATTTCTGACAAATTTATGTAGAGCTTGTGGTTCGGCGTGCTGGGGGCACAAGCCATCGTTCACTGCCGATGCCTCCTGGAGACCTGTCTTGTGGAGCTATGCAGTAGGATCATCTTTGTTTGCTTGACAAGACTGTACAAGAGATCTCATCACATGAGACGTTAATTGTGCCCAAGAATTCACTTAGCGAACCATAAAAATCCCCTCCCTCCCAATGCCAACAGCACAGTTCTTGTAATACATGACGAACAAATTAACTTTGCCTTCCTGTGTTTGCTGCGCTATCTAGATCCATGGACATTAACGTTCTTGCCGCCGAAGAGTCTGTGGTAGTCTGTAACCTTTTTGCGAAAAAATTAATGTCCTACTGTTACGCTGCGTCGTTATTTTAGATGAACGTCTCAATCCCATCGCGGAATCAGTCAAATGGTGCGCTCAGTGCAGCGCAAGCGTCAGCAGCAAACTCACCGCGACCTGCTGATCCTCTCACACCACAAACAAGTGTTGCTGCCCAGATTGGAGCATCAGCAAGTCTGAAAGAAGAACGTCAACAACCATCATCACCGCAGAAAACACAACCTGCTGAAGAGAATGTCTCGGTTGCGTCGTAAGTGTACGTGCTCTCACTAGTGCCATCTGTTCATGCTTTTTGGTGCTCACAGCAGATGACTAATTCTTTTGTGTCGTTATGATATGCCAGCGCTCCACTTTTTACCAACCAAATTATTCAAAATATCATGTCAGAATCATAAGAGTTGCAATCTACCTAAAATTGAATATGTTTTCGACTTTTGCTCGATGTCAGTTAATGTTTGATTAATGCTCTATTATCACTAATCACTAGCTTTGTTTATATTTGGAAAATTATTTTGCATCCTACCTGCTCACATCTTATACATAGTGAGGAAAAACAGATTCCCATCCTGTCTAGCCCCGAAAGTAGTTTTGTGGCCTTTCAAGTTAATGCTGCGGACGTTGTTGAGAGTCATTGGTTCCCTTCCATGTCCGTAATGTTACGTTACCGACTGCAACTAAACATACCAACTCGTTCTAGTCAAAGTATAGCCTTGCTGGTGTGCCGTATTACTTGGGTATTCCTAGAAGATTTCTGAAGCTGGAAAGCGCTACAGCAGTTGAATTCGAAGTACTCCAAGAAATCATTTGAACATGGCGTGTAAACCGGTGGTGGTGATCGTGGTTTGTCGTGAGATATTTCCTTTTGAGATATAGTCGGCAATACCACGAGGCCAGTCGCCACGTTCAGATGATGTACGCAGCACATCCTACCCATCTCTTGCCGTGGAGTGTAGTCAGCGTCAGGGCACATCACTGCTGTGGATTGCCCAACAGGGGAGTTGTATTTGGTCGCCGGGGAAACGGGTCGTGATTGGTTGGGGAAGAATTTGTTGATAGTTGGTTTTTCTTGTCCTGGGGCGCTTTGAAGGGGGTGGGTGTGGGTGTTCGCTCGTTGCTGGGAGGGGGGTCGTATTTGTCTTCTGGCCTTTTGAGAGGTTGTTGGCATTTCGTGGTTTTCGTTTAATGTGTAGTATACACTCCCCCTCCCTCGACACTCGATTGGGGGAGGGATCTAGGGAGATTGTATCAGGCCACATTTCAAGGGGGGAGGGGTGTCGTAAGAACTTGACCAAAATCCCGAATGATGTGCCCTGGTTAGCGCTAGAATGTGACGAGCTGGGATAAAGGATGGCAAGCTCATAAGAGCAGGCCCGCCATGTTCAACTGCGTCCGGATGTCAGCTCGAGCTATGCCATTAAATCACTTAGCTAACGTTCATTTCAGCAGAAACAACATTCTGTGGTAAAGTGAAAGGGTGGAACAGTGCTTATGTGAAATTAGGTGCTCAGCATCCTCACAATGAATTCAGGATTGTAGATAGCTATACCCTTTTTATTGTAAGGAATTGCTGGGCACCACCTTGCACAACCGCTCTACGCGCAATCCCCAGGCAGGCCGCCAATTGTCGAAAACAACGATCCCATTCTCAATTCACCATTCATTGCTGCATGACTGACTCCTCTACTATGCTATACTTATATATGTGTGTACTTGGCTATATCTACTTTGAACTTTCATTTGTGAGTTTCTATCCTTATTATATAGTGTGTTCGGTGGTTCTACTGCGTGCAAAATGTTGTTCCACCTCGTCGACGAGTATCAGACCGACTGCTCAGCACTCTCGTTTTCTGTTATGGCTACATTTTGTTTTACTATAGCATTATCGTACTCGTTATTGTTCGTTATGATGATATAACACATTGTATACTATGTTTGTATTCTCAACAAAATTGAACAACACCATACTAAACATGTTCGACAATGTGTACCTCCCCCTCGGCTCTTCCACTCTCCAATGTGTTTTTTTTTCGTATTAACGTCCGTTTCATCTTTCAAGCTGAACTGATAGTAGGGGTCAACAGTAGCTATTCTTTCAGAAATTTAACCTTCACACTAATGTATGTCACCCCTTGTCGTCTTCTTGTACTAGAAAATGATTTAATTTCACGTGAGTCTTGAAGTTCCATTCACCTTTTTCATCTGTTTCTTTTTCTGTGTAACGGGTGTGTCCCGATCTTGTAGACCGTAATAGCACTGTGTCGCTAGCTTCATGAGATCTCGGGTTGTTCTCAGAGTTTTCGAAGTTGTTGAGAATCAATAAATCGATAATCCATATCGAATTTGTAAGATGTCAAGCAGCTTATGGTTAGATTCATTGGTAGCTCACAATTAACAGAGTAGAAGCTAGTTCAAGCAAATCGCAACTTATGGAATAAAAATGATCTTCTGTATAGAGTGAAGGTTCACAATCGTCGGTATCCTTCATGAGTGGAATCCCAACTGTGTAAGAAGATCATCTGGAGAATACTGCTTCTATATTATTTAACCTCAGTTTCCTTCAGAGCCTTTACTCGATTGTTTAGAACGCATGTTCATACTTCGCGATCGCTCGACTGGATCGCGCGATCGCGAACTATAAACGCACTCTTAGGCACCGATTTTCTTCTTTTCCCTGTGTAGACATAGTCGGTACCCCATCACACTTGCACGACTTCACTCATTTGAGACGCCAGTCACGGAGAGGATTATGGAGAGAGGTCACGGAGAAAAGATGAAAATAGGGCACTATTTACCCTTTACTGCCCAACCATCCGAAATCTGGCCCGTTTTTTGACTTTCTTCTCCGTTAACGGAATTGGCTAGAATTTGTCTCCTGGGGTAGCTTCACCTCCTGAATATTAATATCACATTCGCTCGGCGCGAAACTTCCTGGCGCTCCCGTCATAGGCGCCGGCGCTGAAATATCATCCAACTACCCGACCGATATAATTGAAAACTTGTTCCCAGGGGTAGTTTGACCTTCTGAACAAGCGCTCGCGCTACAGCGCCGGCGCTAAAATACCCCAAATCACCGGCGCCTGCGGCGCGCGCCAGAAGGTTTCGGGACAAGCAAATGTGATACTCGTATTCAGGAAGTCAAGCTATCCCAGGAGACACATTTCGAGCTACAATGAAACGTTGCGTCAAAACTTGGTTCGATTCCGGAGTGGACCCGGGAGCATTAAAGCGGGGTAGAAGTAGTGCGGCGCCAAACAAATCCAGCCAGTCGCGTGTCCAGTTCAGGAAATGGAGGCCCAATGGAGTGCAGTTTCGACGTGGCTGTGCAGGGAAAATCGACAAGGAATAGAAACTTTACTTCGAAAACAGGTTTATCTGCGATAGACGAGAAGTTGTGAGAAGTGCAGGTCTATCATCGCACTGCTAAATACAAAGTGGCCAACGGTAACACAAAAAAGGTCGAGAAAAATTAGAAAAATAGCACTGAACACGACAATAGCACAGGAACGTGGAAGCTGCTAAACAAAGTCGCAAAAGAAGGATTTAGCTACTGAAATCGAGCAGTTAAAATAGGAATCGAGCTCAAACTTGATAACGACCTTCAGAGTCTGAATACCTGAGTTATATGCAAACAGCTCGACTCGATTAAGCAAAGAGCGCTAGGGACAGAACAATATCAAATTTGGGTACGTCACACTCAACTAACAAATCGAAAATAATGACTCAGAGGATCAGCAGTTCACATGATAGCAGACGAAGACAGAATCAGCTTGGCAGACAGTTTTGGAGCGCGTGACTTCAAAATCTAACTGCATATTCTGTAGGCTGGACGAGTAACGGGATTCGCATTGCGCAAGTGGGTGCAAGCCAAGCAATTCGTGGACCAGGGATCTCGTGAAACCAAACTGCTAAACTGCAGCTATGTCCAGATGCCTAGTAACGGAGCATCACCACAACTGCGAGGTGAAGTGTAGCAGTTGTAGTCGTGACCGCATCTTGCAACTCTGTCATCATCGCAGACGGACGCAGCAGACGCCACAGAAACGAGTCCGTTACTGATCGTACCAACGACGAGCAGTCTACACCCATCCACGAGCAGTCTGCCCACCAATCAACGAGCAGTCTACTTCAATGTGCACAACCGCCCAAAAATGCTTGCTGCCGACCAATCCTGCTCTCCAATAGTGATAGATGTGTCCCATTTGGTACACACACATCTGGTTATAGTGTGGCTCGTAATTCGTTTGATATTTCATTTTGCTGCTTCGACCTCGGGGGGGGGGGGGGCAAATTATCGTAACACAAACAGACTTGCTTAGTTAACTATTTGCGCTTTGCCTGATGAGGGCTCGCTTACTCTCTCCTCTCTCTCTCTCTCTCTCTCTCTCTCTCTCTCTCTCTC